TGGACAATCAGTTGGTGATCCAGTGATCAGTGAGGATGATGTCCCCGTTGTTTTCCGGTCTTGGCAAGCTAAAAACTTCCTGGTGACTGTGATGCACGTAAAAGGAAATGTATCAAATACCAATGTCTTGGGTGTCACTGAAGTAGAGGTTCGTTCTCAAACTGTCAAAATAAGATTCTTTAAACTTATAATATAACACAGGCCTTTCATAGGATACTATTACTGACCTGCGTTGATTTGCCTTATAGGAGCTGCTTTATGCAGGAGGTTATAATGTACCAAGAACGGTTCATGAAGTCATAGCACACTTGGCTTGCCGTCTTTCTCGATGGGATGATAGGTGACAAATGATAGCTTTTCTTAATTTTCTGGTATTGTCTGGAATGTTTCTAACAGGTTCTTTTTCTTGTTCTTGATTGGTGATAGGCTATTCCGTAAATCCATATTTGGCGCTGCTGATGAAATCGAACTGAAGTTTATGAACAGGTTCTCACAGATATGTATCCTCCGTTTGTTAAGGATAACTCACAATATTCATGTTTAAGTAACATAAAGTGATGATTTCTTGTTATTAGGAGAAACCATGAGGATGTAAATCTCTTCAGTATCATTCTCAACCAAGAAATCAGAAAATTATCAAGACAGGTCATCATCTTCTCTTCATTGCAGCTAAGCCTTAATTTGAATTAAATGGAAATGACTGGTCTTGTGTTTGTTTGTATGGCCTAAGTTGATGTTTGCTTGTGACGCATATCGAACTATAGTCATGGCTCATGAACATGAAGTCTTCTTTTAATCATTGCAGGTCATCCGAGTGAAGTGGTCACTACACGCAAGAGAGGAGATTATATTTGAGCTTCTCCAGCATCTGAGAGGAAACATAGCTCGGCATCTGTTAGAAGCTTTGAGGAAGAACACAAGGGAGATGCTTGAGGAACAAGAAGCAGTCCGTGGACGTCTCTTCACAATCCAAGATGTCATGCAAAGCACTGTCCGTGCTTGGTTACAGGACAAAAGCCTCAGAGTGAGCCATAACTTAGCCGTGTTTGGAGGATGTGGTCTTGTGCTAACCATAATCGTGGGACTGTTTGGTATCAACGTGGATGGCATCCCCGGTGCTCAGAACACGCCGTACGCGTTTGGTCTGTTCACTCTGCTCATGGTTCTCATTGGAGCGGTTCTGATTGCGGTCGGTCTGGTATACTTGGGGCTCAAAAAGCCCATCACAGAAGAACAAGTGAAAGTTAGAAAGCTGGAGCTACAAGGTGTGGTCAAGATATTTCAACACGAAGCAGAGACTCATGCCCAAGTCCGGAGAAACAATTTGTCTCCTACTGCTGGAGATGTGTTTGACACTGAGTATATACTCATCCAGTAAAGAAAACTTGAATCAGATCTTTCATGTTTTAGATACATATCAAAGAGTCTTCTTGTTTCCTTAAAAGGCATTTACATTAGTCACTCTGAGAGTACAACAAGGACGAGATCTTTTTAACCGCCAAGATAAACATAACCTGTTAGATCTCTGTTTGTATCCAAGTGCAAGGTGGAAGTGAGTCTAAAACCTGTTTGTATCCGAATTTAATCTCTATGGTGGAAGTGAGGGGGTAAATGTTAGAAATCATAAGTTAAAGGTTACATTTGTGAGGACTCTAAAACATATGGAGGGAATATGTAAAAAATGGTGAAGCGCGTCTTAAAAAAAGCTACGTTTGGGTAGGGTGCTAAATGTTAGAAATCATAAGTTTAAGGTTATAACTGTAATGAGTCTAAAACATATGGAGGGAATATGTAAAAATGGGCGAAGCGCGTCTTAGAAAAGCTACGTTTGGCTCTGTGTTGTTGGATTTTGAGGTGTGAGGCGTAATCGCAATATCATCGATTTGGCTAGCCAGAGGAAAGAAGAGAAGACGACTGCTCCGATGGTAAGATTTCTTCTCGAAACTGTTCCAATTTTACTTTTGTTTTCCCCCAATTTTTTTTGCTCTCTCGAATTTTGTTAGGGTTTTTGGCACTTTTTTCATCGAGATTCGAAGTCTCATTCAGTTGCTTTCGTAACAATGATTTTTCACCTCTTCCTTTGTTGACTGGAACGTGAATTTGAATTTTGAACGGATTGTGTATGATTGGTTCTTCTGTTCATGATTTAAGCTGAGATTCAATCTTTTTCTCGAGTAAACAGGAAGTATATGCCATGGGAAACAGATTCAAAGTATCAGGGGTTAGTTTGATAGCTTAGGCGTTTCAAATTCTTCTGATTGTTATTTTAGGGCTTGAATCAGTATTCCTATCTGGGTGGATCTGTTTAGTTCGTTGTGCCTTTTGTGATTCACTGTTGAAGTTCGCATCCATATTTGTAAATTGTTTTAAGACATTTTCACTTATTCCCGAGCTTCTCTTTGTACAAACTCCATTGGGATCTACTTGTTTGTTTTTCTCCAAATGATTCGGAGGGGTTCTTGAGCTTTAATAGCTTTAGATATTGCTCTTTCGCTTTGATCGAATTGGTGATGAATTAATTAGTACGCTCATCTCTATATGGCTACTTTCATCGCACTTTGGCATACTATGAATTATACGTGCTTCGATCTAGTAGCACAAAAATGGCTCTTGTCTGTCGATTGTTGATTGAATAGTGTTTCAGCAATCATGGCACTTGAAATATATTTCTTCTTCTTCTTCAAAAAGTTGTAATATTGCATGTTTAATGTTCATATTATATCTGACCCTTTTTTACTGCCTCCTGTGTAGGCCGATCCTGAGCTAGAAGCTATTAGGCAGAGGAGAATGCAAGAGCTCATGGCTCGACATGGCACAGTAACTTTTAACAACTTCTCTTATGTCTGATTTGTTTTTGTTTTTTTTTAAAAGGAAAAAAAATTGCACTTTGTGACTCATTCATTGTGCACCGACTTAAATAGCAGGGGAAGCCAGGCAATCAGCAGAATCCAGATCAAGAGAGAGCACAAGAAGATGCTAAAAGGTGTGTCTCGTCCTTGTCTACTCGTTGACAAAGACGTTGGATTTTGAACTAACCCTATTCTCTGATTGGACCATTCGTGTAGGGAAGCTGATGAACGTAGACAAATGATGCTTAGTCAAATATTGTCTTCCCAAGCCCGAGAGAGAAGTAAGTTCCATCTAGCTCCTCTTCCTTGTTTCTTCGTGACTGTCATCGATATTGGTGTTAAAAGTATATCTCTTATGCTTCTCTTTCTTCTTCTTATGTCTATAGTCGCTCGAATTGCCTTGGTGAAACCTGAGAAAGCGAGAGGTGTAGAGGATGTTATTTTGAGGGCTGCTCAAATGGGACAGATCGTTGAGAAGGTAAAGAAAATCCACTTTCTTTTTTTCCTTGTCATAGTTCGTAATGTTACATATGTAAGAGTTATTGAAATACTCTTTTTGACAGGTTTCTGAGGAGCGACTGATAACGCTGTTGGAACAGATAAACAGCCAAACTAGCAAACAGACAAAAGTCACGGTATGGACACACAATCCTGAAAACGCAAAAAGCTAATTTAAGCATTATAAGCCTTGCTAACGGTCGATAATATCATTGAGTGCTAAGTCTATAATGGCTGCTGCGTTTACAGATCCAGAGGCGCCGTGGTGTAGATGACGATTAGGAGGAAGAACATTATCATGTGCTGTGTGTATCTATGGAGATCTCACTCTTGAGTTTGTGAGTTTCACTAAGATGATGTTAAATGTTACTGTGGAATGTGTTTATTGTGATTGAATCTTTGATGATCTTCCTAATGTTTGGGGACGAGATAATAGTCATCTGAAACTCTGCATTATATATATATTTTTCGCATTTCCTCTGTGAACTAAACTCTATCTCTCCCATCCTAGCATTGTCTTTTGAAATTTGAATATTATTAGAAAAAGAAAAAGAAAAATGATTTTCTGTTTCTGTCATTTTTTTCTCTTCTGGCTAATTTTAGTTTAACTTTTCTTGATGATTAATCAATGCTCAATCCTACAACTTTGAATTATTCAAATAAATATTTCAACTTCTCTTGGTGGTGAAGAAGGATTGAAGCACTCCATCTTTATGAGTTACTAGGTTAAAACCCGCGCAATGCGCGGATAATGTTGTTACTTTTTTCATTTATCTTTTATTTTCATGTTTGTAGAATTTGTTTTTAAAATATTTATATATATAATAGACTCTTTGACACAATGTTTTTTTAGAATCTTGAATTTTTTTCATTATTTATGTGACCCGACGACTGTTTCATTTCCTCTCTTTTACAACTTTTGGGTTGCATTTCCGACATCATATAAAATTTGGCAGAACTATGTGAATGATGTTGAGTCTAAAATAAGTGAAACTCTTGCATATTCAGTTAAGTAATCAGTTATTTTAGATTTTGAGTTAATTTAGAAGAATGAAAGTAATTTAGAAGAATGAAAGTCACAAAGAATGGATCATCAACTTTTAGTTTTATGTTATTCTCTAATTCATTGAAACTAAGTTGTAAAACATATTAAAAAAAAACATCATATATCTCCATTCCATGATGATAGAATTACCTAAAGCGATGCCATAGTTTTCACATGGACCAAAATTTTGGTATGTTTGTAAGAGTTACAAATATATTCACAATTCATCTAATAAAAGTTTTTAGTTTAATAGTTTGGTAGATTCATCTAATGAAATATATCTTCACACTTGGTAGATTCAGATAATCACTCTAGAAATGTATGTAACAAAGCTATGTTGCTAAAGGGTCAATAATGATCCGTAACAAAAGAAACGTATGTTGCTATTTACATCTAAGAAGATATATCAATTGTTATTTTCTTTTTTTCTATACAATTTTCCATTCTTCTTCTGCTGTGCTACGCTTGAGTTTTGTGGTGAAAATAAACCAACAACATCACCTTCTTCTAATCGAATCCTCTTTATCCACATCTTCACTATCATCATCCTTCTCCTTCATTATCTATAGGCTTGCTTTCGGACTCTTCTTCTGAGCTCAAGCTCTCTGTTTCTGATACCAAGCTCTCTTCTTTCTTATGTACAACCCCGAGATCAGTCTCTGTTCCATGACCCTCTGATCCCAAGCTCTCTTCTTTCTTATGTACAACTCCATGCTCAGTCTCTGTTCCATGACCCTCCAGAGGAGCCATTTGGTCACCTTGGGAACTGCTACTTAGACTCGGAAAGGATCTGTGGCATGATATTAAGCGTCAAGGAACTGTGACAGAGATAAAGACAAAAGAAACAAAAAAAACATAGTGTTTGGAGTCTAATCACTAATCAGATCCAGAAAGCTTACCCTATTGTCACTTGTTGGGAATTAGGAGATCGGAGATAACCATAGGCTGGTACCAAATTTCTTGTTCTTACTTCAATTGTTTTAGTTTGGATTCCTTCAAGCTCCATCTCTCCACGTCCACCATTATTCGCATCATCCCGATTCAACACCAGTTCTTGAAACCTAAGATAGATGGGAAGGTTGCGGGATTAATAGGATCGAAGAGACAGAGGTGCAGCCTAAGCATCTATGAGAATCCAGCATTGACTAAAGCATCTTACCAATCAAGGCTCGGAGGCCGATTCGGATGCGCAGCGGACCTAATCGGAACCTTGAAGATCCTGGTTCCACCACACTTCCCAACGAATTCCGGTAGAGAATCTGAGCCGTCACCATTCTCCGCTCTGATCCCATCGAAATTGCCGTTCTCGCTGAGCCTCCGATCGCGGAACTGGATCATTTAGTCGATGCGTTTGTTGCTGTCGTCGACGGAAGGACCTGAAGAGTCGGAGGAACCAGGGAGTGCATGGTTGTGATAGAGAGAACTTGGGGATAGAGAGAGAGTGTATAGCTGAATAGTACGTTTGTATTGATTTAGATTGCGAATACAAGAGACGAGATCTTGATCACACTCTGATCTTATCTCTGAGTATCTTTCAACTCCCTAGCTCAAAGCTAAACTTCACTTGTAAATGCATAATCCACTAATGATGAGCTTAATCTCTATTTAACTATGAGTAATTGTTAGTTACAACCGTCTAACCGTAACCTTCCGCTTCAAAGAGAAGATCCACTCGGTTGACTAACTCCTTCTTCACTCTCAGTCAACGGGTCACGTGTCTCGCTTCTCTTCTTGCGATAGTACGTGTTATGTATCTTATCAATACCCTCCCCTTTAAAAACCAGCTTGTCCTCAAGCTTATCATTAGGAAAAAGCTCGAACAAGGTGGCAGAACGAACCCAGGTGCTCTCATGATCCGGCTGACCCTTCCATTTGATCAACAACTCTACACAGCCTGATGCGTCAAAACGTTTCGCAAGCACCTCCTCTGGTTCAAAGTCCACAGTCCGTAGATCCGTGACAGCGACAGGTAAAGGTTGTAACTCATGTTCATTGCCAAGTGCGCGCTTCAATTGCGAGACATCAAAAACAGGGTGGATCTTAGACCCTTCAGGGAGGGCTAACTTGTACGCCACTTGCCCTACTCTCTCCAACACCGTATAAGGGCCAAAGAATCGCGCTGCAAGCTTAGGACACAGTCGTTTCACCACAGTTTGCTGGCGATAAGGCTTGAGCTTCAAGAAAACCATATCTCCCACCTCGAACTCCACATGACGACGATGCTTGTTCGCAGATTCCTTCATCAAACTTTGAGCTCTCTGTAACTGAGCTTTGATTTGAATCAGCATGTCGTCCCTCTCTTTCAACATTTCTTCCAGCTCAAAGTTACTAGTTGACCCTGGTTCATACTTCAGAACAGTCGGAGGATCGCGCCCATACAAAACTTTGAACGGTGAAGTCTTCAGGGCAGTGTGATACAATGTGTTGTACCAAAGCTCGGCCCAAGAAAGAAATTTGTACCACGTTTTGGGGTGACCTGAGGCAAAGCAACGCATGTACGTCTCAAGACATCAGTTGAGAACTTCCGTCTGACCATCAAATTGAGGATGAAACGCGGTACTGTAATTCAGTTGTGAACCTTCCAAACGAAACAGCTCCTTCCAAAACTTACTCAAGAAAATCTTATCACGATCTGAAACAATTGATCGCGGAAATCCGTGCAAACGCACGATCTCTGTAATGAAACGCTGAGACCAATGAAGTGACTGGACTTACTGAGTCGATCCACTACTACCAAAATCACATTGTAGCCTCCTGACATTGTTAATCCTTCCACAAAGTCCATGAAAATGTCTTCCCAAACCTTATCTGGAATCGGTAACGGTTGGAGTAATCCTGCGGGTGAAAGTGTTGAGTATTTAAACTGTTGACACACAAGACACTCAGCGACATACTTTTGAACCCTTTTGTATATTCCTTGCCACTGAAACGCAAGTTGAATTCGCCGCACTGTTTTTAAGACTCCCGAATGGCCTCCAATCTGACTGTCGTGACACTGACTTATAATCATCGGAATGAAAGCTGAATCTTTCGGAATCACTAGCCGTTGGCGAAACCACAGACGCTCGTTGATCACCTCGTAAGCCTCTGCTGCTGTTCCTTGTTTAACTTGTGAAATGAGCTCCTGAATAGTCTCATCTTTGTCAATCTCCTTATACAGGTCCTGCAATTGTAGAGCCTCTGGAATTGTCAGTGATAGTAGTGTAGAATTGACCATTGCAGATGTAGGAGGAATGCGTGATAACCCATCGGCAGCCTTGTTCTCACACCCTGGTTTGTACATGATGTCAAAATCAAATCCCAATAACTTTGTCAGCCATCTCTGATATTCCAAGTTCACCTCTTTCTGTTTCAGCAGATATTTCAGACTTCGCTGATCTGTATGTACTTCAAACTTACGACCCACTAAATAGTGCTTCCATTTCATAACTGCCATCATGATCGCCATCAATTCCCTTTCATACGCCGGTTTCAGTTGTTCTCTCGCTGTGAAACCATGACTGAAAAACGCTATCGGCCGCTTATCTTGCATTAAAACTGCTCCCACTCCAAACCCTGAAGCATCTGTCTCAAGCACAAAGACCTTATCAAAATCCGGCATTGCCAAAACTGGAGCACTTGACATTGCTTCTTTCAACTTCTCAAACGCTGACTGAGCTTCCTCGGACCAAACAAACTTATCTTTCTTTAACAACTCTGTTAGCGGCCTTGCTATCATTCCATATCCTCTCACAAATTTTCTGTAATACCCTGTTAATCCCAGAAAACCTCTCAACTCCTTTACACAACTAGGTGAGGGCCACTGTAGCATAGCTGTTGTCTTAGTGGTATCCGTAGCTACGCCATTCGCTGAGATAATGTGGCCCAAGTATTCTACCTGAGGCATTTCAAAGACACATTTCTTCTTGTTTGCCAAAAGCGACTGATCTTCAAAAACTTTCATCTCTAGTCGCAGATGCTCGACGTGTTGCTCCACACTTGAGCTATATATCAAGACATCGTCAAAAAAGACTTAACACGAATTTCCTCAGAAATGGTTTGAATATTTTGTTCATTAGTCATTGAAACGTTGCTGGCGCGTTGGTTAGGCCAAAGGGCATGACTAAGAACTCATAATGTCCTTCCAACGTCCTGAAGGCAGTCTTGTGTATATCTTGTTCCAACATTCGAATTTGGTGGTAGCCTGACCTTAAGTCGAGCTTGGAAAAGATAGTTGCTCCGTGCAATTCATCGAGCAACTGGTCAATAACCGGAATCGGAAATTTGTCAGGAATCGTGGCTCTGTTAAGTGCGCGATAATCAATGCAAAACCTCCACGCATTGTCTTTCTTTGGCACCAACAAAACAGGGCTCGAGAAGGGGCTTGAGCTCTCTCTGATGATTCCAGATTCCAGCATTTCTGTTACCATTTTCTCCATAACTACTTTTGTGGCATGAGGATACCGATAGGGGCGCACTGATATACTTGTAACTCCCGGAGCTAGATTAATAGCGTGTTCCTGCCCTCTAAACGGTGGTAAACCTCTCGGATCTGCAAATACTTCGTTAAACTGATCCAGTAGTTTGGTAACGGGTCCCGGAACTTCTTGAAGACTGGTGGGTGTCAAACCACTAAGCACCAGAGGTGCTTCTCTTCCCTTGGTGTTAGTCGGTAAGATGCTCATAGCTTTGAACGATAGCTTAGGAGAATGTAGAGAAGGGTCGCCAATCAAAGTCACTTTTTTATTGTTGTGAACAAATGATAGCTCCTGCTTCTTCCAATCTACTTCACATTTCCCAAGCGTTTCAAGCCATTGCACACCTAAAATGACATCCACTGCTCCCAGTTCTAATGCTATGAAATCCGTTTTAAAGTCAACATCTGCGAGATTGAACGTGACATTACGACAGACTCCGTCTCCTTGAACCGTAAGTCCATTGCCCAGCAGAATGTCGAGGTTGCTATCACAACTGGATTTCAATTTTAGGCGCTTCACTATCTCCGGAGAGATAAAGTTGTGTGACGCGCCACTGTCCAACATCACAATCACACTGGACTTTCGAATCTTTCCATAAAGTTTCTGTGTTTTTGGTGAGTGCTTTCCCAAGAATGAGTTCAAGGAAAGACTTCTTACTTCCTGAACTTGCACCATTTGGCCATGCATCTCCTCATAAGTCTCCTCTTCCTCATAAATTTCCATCTCGAGTCCATTGATAACTGTCAGGACACGGAATTCTCGCATCGGGCACACAGCTCTATGTTCTCTTGACCACGGTCCTTTACATTTGAAACAGACAACATCCTCTCTTATTTTTTTGATCTCTGCATCGGATAAGCGTTGTTGGGTCTCTGTTGTCCTGTAGGTTGAACATTCTCTTTGCCTTGTGCACGAGGAGGTATAACTGTTGTTCTTCCTTCAAACGGTATCAAGGCTCTCTGTGAATTCATTCGTTTCTTGCCTCTTGCACCACTGTCATAACCTGTACTCTCACTGACTGCTTTGCAGAACGCACTGGATTCCATTCTCAACACTGCGGAAATGTGGTGTTCCAAGCGCTGTGGCTCCTTCATCTTAATCACTTCTTGCATTTCTGTTGTTAGTCCGTTGTAAAAGATATGGCACAGAGTCTCATCACTCAACCCCGGAACTAATGAAGACAGCTCCTCAAACTCCGTGATGTAGTCATCCACTGATCCGTTCTGCTTCAATCTGAATAAACGCTTTCCTGGCGCTTCCTCAATCGATTCTGAGAATCGCAATATCAATTTGTCTTTGAAGGCTGACCAACTTCTGAAGCCATTTCTCTGTAACTCCCAATAGTACCATTTCTTCACCTTCCCTTCCAAACTCAAACCAACCAAATCCAGTTTTTCTTCCTCTGTGTAGCCGCCGATGTGGAAAAACCTCTCTGCTTCAATGATCCACACATACGGTTGTTTCCCAGAGAAAATAGGCAATTCGACTTTCTTCAACAACGTATCTCTATTCGCTAGATTCAAATTCCCAGATCGATATCCTAGCGAGTCATTTTTTCGATTTGGTTCCAAATGAGGGGATACCTGAATCGGTGTAGCTGAATACGGCGGAGTTGTCGCCGGTGGTGTATGATTCTGATCGGTGGATTTGTTGAGCATTGCGAGTATCGCCTCCATTTGTTGCTCCATTTTCGCGGATTTTTGATTTGCTTCTGCCCGATCCTTCTCGGATTGCTTCTGGAATTCACGAAACGCTTTCATGTGCCGATCGATTTTGTCCAATTCGAGTTGAACTTGTGAAGATCCGTCGAAGTCGCCGCACTCCGAAGTCGCCGGAGAGACTTGTCGTAGCGCCATCTTCTGCTGCGTTTGATTCGTCGTTGCCTCCGCACCAATGATAGAGAGAACTTGGGGATAGAGAGAGAGTGTATAGCTGAATAGTACGTTTGTATTGATTTAGATTGCGAATACAAGAGACGAGATCTCGATCACACTCTGATCTTATCTCTGAGTATCTTTCAACTCCCTAGCTCAAAGCTAAACTTCACTTGTAAATGCATAATCCACTAATGATGAGCTTAATCTCTATTTAACTATGCGTAATTGTTAGTTACAACCGTCTAACTGTAACCTTCCGCTTCAAAGAGAAGATCCACTCGGTTGACTAACTCCTTCTTCACTCTCAGTCAATGGGTCACGTGTCTTGCTTCTCTTCTTGCGATAGTACGTGTTATGCTGTCGCGATGCTGCGCTGACGTGATGCTGCGTTGCGTTATTGACTTTAGATCCGCACTGCCTCGTTAAAACCTTGATATGGAAAAACCCTATGGGATAAAAACCATAAGAAGGGAAAAGAGTACAGTGACGTAATCTTGTCCGCAAATAGAATGTGCTTTTGATAATTTCTCTCGGACTTGACGAGATGACTCTTTTGTCTCGTCAAGGAGAATAGATTGCTGTGACGATTTTTCTCGGATTCGAGCTTCGACGAGATTGGTTTTATCGGGCTCGTGTGATGACGAGACCGCTCGATCTCGTATATGATGACGAGATCGGTGTCTTCTCGGGCTCGTGTGATGACGAGACCGCTCGATTTCGTATATGATGACGAGATCGGTGTCTTCTCGGGCTCGTGTGATGACGAGACCGCTCGATTTCGTATATGATGACGAGATCGGTGTCTTATCGGGCTCGTGTGATGACGAGACCGCTCGATTTCGTATATGATGACGAGATCGGTTGGGCTCGTGTTCGGAACACGTTCTCGATCGTGCTTCGACGAAACCGGTTGGGGTCGCGCTTCGGCAACACTTGTTTTCTCGGGATCGTGCTTCGACGACCGGTTGGGGTCGCGCTTCATGGAACACTTGTTTTCTCGGATCGTGCTTCGACGACCGGTTCGGGCTCGTGTGATGACGAGACCGCTCGATCTTGGATGACAAGATCGGTGTTTTCTCGGGCTCGTGTGATGACGAGACCGCTCGATCTCGTGTGATGACGAGATCGGTGTTGTCGAGAGGTTTGGCCAGAACGTCGACGTGTACCTTTGGAGGTGAATAAAATTTTACAATGCTCATCTCGTCAGACGGATTATAGAATTTTATTGGGGTATAGCTGAACCTTTGGAAAGGCTGCCTACGTACCCATGCCGGGATCAAGCCATTCGTAGTTCGTTTTCTCGGTCTCGTGCTTGAGACCGGTTTGATGCCGAGATGTTTATCGGACTTGCCGTTTCGGCGGCGGAGGCAGATCATCTTGGTGAGGGAGTGATGCAGGCGCGTTCTTCTCGGCGTCCGTCTCTTGATCTCGCGCGTCGGCGCTGGTTTGCAGCTCGTCGATTTTCGTCGCGGCGTTCAGCATCATTTGGCTTTGCGGAGTATTGTGTACTCTAGTATCATGCTGATGCGCCTACATTCTTCTGTAGTATGATCGGTTCGTCCATGGAATTTGCACCATTTCTCTTCGTCGTTGTCTTTTTGTCGCTCTTGTTCGTCTTGAGAGGTCCTTTTGATTCTCTTGACGAGATGATGACGAGACTCTTCGTCATTCCATGAATCTTTGAGTGGTGCGCCTTGCTTTCTTCAACGCAGACGTATTTTTGGGACCTGTGCAAAGCGTCCTGGAGGGTTGCGGGTTCGTCGAGCATCAGACTCTCTTTCAACTTTGATTCGAACCAAAGCCCGTTTTCGAAAGCTTTGATTCCCATCGCGTCGGGGATGTCTGAGTGCTCAGCTGCTGCTGTTTTGAATCTCTCGACGAACTTGCGAAGAGACTCATCTTTTCCCTGTGCCATAGTGAAAAGATTGGTGCTGCCTTTTGACATAAACATGCCAAAGTGTTTCATGAATGCCGTGCTGAGATCATCAAAGTTGTCGATGGTCTCGGCAGGGAGGTTCGAAAACCAGCTCGTCGCGTCTTTGTTCATGTGCTCGATGAACACTTGACAGTAGTTTGCGTCTTGTTCTTCGGGGGAGGCATATTTTGCCTTCTCATGGCCATCTCGAAGTTTCTTAGCCAGTTTCGAGGATCGTCACCATTGTTGTAGAACTGAAGACGGAGAGCCGTTTGATCCTTTAGAGGTATCGCGGCGATGCGACGAGTGAAAGGACTCCTTTTCGTCTCGGCGAGGATTTTGGCAATCTCGGGTGACGAGCTGATAGCGTCGTGCACTTTGGAGCTGATTGCGTCGAGGTCGCGGCGCAGCTTGGCCACTTCCGGGTCGGTGTCTTTCTCACCATTCGTCGCGGCATTGGAGCCAGTCGCGGCGGTGCTTCTTGTCGGCGTCTGGAAGAGAGTTCGTCCCGTCGGGATGACTCGTCCGTCGCTGGTGACGTGGAGGGAGTCGATCTTGTCGTTGTACTTTTGCTGCTGAGCTTGCATCTCGGCGAATTGAGAAGCAATTTGAGCAGCAAAGCCTTGCATGGCGGCGGTTAACGCGGCGGTCGTGACGGGAGCTTCTACGTCAGGAACCGGTGGCGGCGGAGGGTTGACGTGACCGTTGGTCGCGTCGACTTCGACGGGATGGACGATGGGGTTTCCATCTGCGCCGAGTTGACTTTGCAGTCCGCCTGTTCTGATGCTGGGATCATCAGCTGGAGGTGCCATCTTTGAACCTTGATTGACTTTTTTCAGAGTTTTTTCTCCAGCCCCACGGTGGGCGCCAATTGTTAGATCTCAAAATCACACAATAATAGTAAGATAAGAGATGTGAGGTTTAGGAGAGACTCTTTATTAGATCAACCAAAGACAAAGATGGTACAAGGGGTGATTCGTCTCGACGATAAGTTGACGAGACGAATACGAAAAGAATAGAGAAGCTAAGAACAAAGGACGAATTATAACTAGGGTTTTGCCTCTTTGCTCTCAGTGATTGTGGAGAATTTCTGATGATTCTGAATGGTCTTCAAGGAATAGGGGGTCTTCTATTTATATGGAGAGGAGGTTGGCTTCCTCAAGATATTCTTCCATATTTCTTTTGGAAATATTCTTCTTTGGCGTTGATCTCCTTCTATTTTTCTTGGATGTAGTCTTTTTCTCCAAGTACTTCCTTTTCTTTGAGGAGGTGGAAGTGGAAGCGGGCCGGGCTTACATAGTATTATTAATTGTGACGGGCTCAGGAAATTGTGCTAATTTCTGCTCTAACAAATAGTCAAAGTTTTCGGATCAAAAAAAGGTCAACGAAGTTTAGAACATGCAAATTACAAAAATCTCAAGTGTATGTCAAATCGTTTTGAGTTTGTTAAGAATGATCGTAGACACTCTGATTCATCTTGCATGTTCTTCATAAGAGATGATGTCTCACTGAGAGTTAACCGAAACTTCGAAATCCGTTTTTTCACACAACTGATCGTGATCTATTGGAGAAGCTATTACGTACAATAATTACTTCCATAAGAGAATGTAACTCTATATTTCCTTGGAAATTAATAACTTGATATAATATAATCACTAGATAACTCATAAATTTTTAGATGAATTAGTCGCTCGAGACATTTTTTTTTCTTTTTAAACGAAATAATAGCTGAAACCATTTATGATATATAATTACAAACACAACAAGACTCATCGTTTGACTATAAGTCAGAATAAATCAGTCCTATCATTCGGTATCCATCTTTCGCGTAGACAGTAGACTATGCAATTAAATTATGACGCAGTTCTACCAAGTACAAATGATAAGGTGGTTGTGGTTTAAAAAAGACAATTAGACAACAGTTTAAGACTTTAAGCAAACTCTGCTACGATCCGTACAATAATTATCCATTTATTAAATTATAAACGCGAAGACTTTTCTTCATATACTATAGTATTAGAAAATGTCATTAGTGGGGTGGATATTGAACTTGAAATCTCAAATTCAACTGAAGCTATACGTTGACTTTTGACTTAAAATTTCTAGTCATTGATAATTTGATATCATTAACTTTACGAAAATAATGGGTACTGAGTAATTTTTATACTTTTTGTTGTTTACACTTTACATCAATGGGATTGGTTAAACAATTAAATATTCTTAAAACTAGCCATTCTCAAATATTTGCCAATTTGCCATTTAACGAAATCACAGTACCTGCTCTGAACATCAGAAAATGATTTATCCTTTTACTCCAAAAAAACAAGAAAACATCAGAACATGACTTAACGACGTCCAAGTCTTCTAGATTATTTTTCGATAAAGAACTATTTTTTTTGATAGATGCTTTTCGGTTCTGTTGTAACTTGTAATCAGGTAATTGAACAAATTTAATTAGCAACTTTACACAAATATTCGATTAATGCTCAAAATTTCCAAACTGTTTGGTGTAGCTCTTCCGCTCACACTTTTTATATATAATATGCAGATTAATGGACAAGCAAATTGTGTGTATCGATCAGTGTGTGTGTATATATATCACTTTTGTTTGGGGTTCCTCATGACAAAACGAAATGTGAATAAATGAAACTAATTGGCTCCTTAATTTCTAAGACATACACATAGTGTGGTTGACCAATTCTTAATTGAAAACTTTTGGTAAAACAATAATTTTCTGATTTAAAGTTAACGGATGCGAAATCCGAATTGGAGAAGCTGGCTTCCAATATCATACGGTTCGATGAATTTTTAAAAATAGCATGACAAAAAATGGCCGATTTCTTTCATACTTGTCTATGCTATGAAAAATCCATCGTCGTTACACAAACTTTCTTCGTCGAGAGGCGTCTTTCAGCACATAGTTATCATGTGAGTTTGTTTGATTTAATGTACAATCATATGGTTAATTTTAAATTAAATTCGCCGATGCTGGTTTTTGGTTTTCGATTTCTCTTATTTTTTTGTCTACGGTTTTTGTTATTAGAGTTATTGGTTATTACCATTGACTTGTTTCTTTGTCTCAAACTCTCTCTTCCTCTTTCTCGAATATTGATATTTTAGAATTAGATGGCAACAAAAAAAAAGAAAACTATACAGAGAGAGCAATACACACGCCTGACGCCACAGTACTGCCACAGTAAGCAAATATTCAAAAGATCGTGACAAAAACAATACAACCAGATTAAAACAAATTGAACTACGGTAGATTATATGGTTAATTTGACGCCACAGTACTGCCACAGTATGCTTAATTTTCGGGAAAGAAACAAAAAAGATTAGGTTTGAATCGTTTGATATGTTCTTGCGTAAAAACCAAAAAAGGAACAATGAAAGGAAGAGCACGTGACATGCACGACTTCGATGACCCTAATTATGGTCAAAGACAGTGCTAGTTTCCTCCACGGCTTTTCTTCACCGTTTATGTTTCTAAAATTAAACCTGCAATCATATGGTTAATATAGGTTCACACAAATTAGTGAATTACTTGAAATAATGAACCCAAATTACCTGATTCATCCATAATATTTATGTGTCCGAAATTTCATTAATAGTTACATATATATAAATATATATATAGCACTTTGTATATTTATTTTATTTCATTTAATTATGATATGATATTATTATGATAAGATTCTTTTTCTACGTCTCAGGATAAGTCTAGCTTCTTTTTTTGTGTGCACCAGGAAGAAGTCTTGCTAGACACTTATCTTATTGAAGTAAATGTAAAGCTAAAGAACGTGAATGTATTACTTTGAAGGATGCTGACTGTTCACATAACAAGTGGTGTTCGTTGACTTTTGATCGACGCCAATAATGTAGCTCCAAAGCTTATTTAAACAATAACGTAATTAGTTAATCTTGTATGGTAGCAATTATATGTATTACAGTAACAAAAAAAAAGTTAATTCAAATAAGGTTCCAGAAAGTATCAAAACGAAGACTAATCACTCACTTGATTTGTGTATATGCATATATATAAAATTGAGTTATATAATTCGTACGTTTCACCAAAGAAAATTATCTTTTGACGAGTGCAAAGATGTTGGAAAGTAGATGACTTGATGTCTATTCTCTACATTGCTTTTATACGTTTGACCTCTATTTTATCTACATTTTTAATTTTCCTTTGCAAGACTTCTGCGTAAAATAGACTTTTCAAATACCTTATCATAGTGCATTCTGCATTCACATAGACATCAAGTTCTGATATTGTCTAATAGATCGTGCGTGAAAAACACTGACTGTTTAAATTTGTTACATATAAACAGAAACTATATATTGACTTAACTCTTGAACCATTTGATACATAACATCATATGGTGATGATCATGTCAAAGAAGACCTACGTATGTTTTTCAACCGACTTTTATATTTTATTTATACTTTTATTAAAGCCAG